GCCGAAGTGCATGTTGTATATTTGACTTTAAAAATTGATTTTTAGCTCTATCCATTTACTTCAGAATGGCAATGATTGATGAGAACGCATATTTCTTTCTCAACACAAACAAAAAGTAACAAGTCCTGGCAGTTTTTGTTATTTTTTTTTTTTTTTTTAGGATTGAACAACTCTTTTTAAATTCACAACAAACAATCATTTGCATGTCCAATGATCATGCTCAAATGGAGTATCAAGGCAAAATGAGACAGGCAGAGGAAAGAGTGCAAATGCAATAACACAATGACATGTTTCCTCAGGGTTAAAAGACAAAAAAATGAGGAGATGACTAAATCCACATTTTTTTCCCCTCAAAGAATAGATATGGTTAAATTAACCACATATTACCTTTATGAAGTCAAGGTTTGCACGTGCTGAATCACTCTGTCCTCTATTTTGTAGAGGCTATGACTATGTATGAAAGAAAGTTAAGGACATGTCAAAATCTTCAAAACATTTGGTAATAATAATAATAATAATAAATTATATATATATATATATATATATATATATATATATATACATACACACACACACACACACATTACAATTATTTATTTATTTTAATATTTTATTAATTATCATTTTATTTCATATATATATATATATATATATATATATATATATATATATATGAAATAAAATAATAATTGATTCTAATATTTTATTAATTATTATTATATATATATATATATTATATGTGAAATAAAATAATTAAAAAAAAATATTTTATTAATTATTATTTAATATTAAAATAAACAAATGAAAATAATTGTATTAATTATAATTTTATTTCATTTATATATATATATATATATATATATATATGAAAATAAAATAATAATTAACAAAATATTAAAATAAAAAACAAATAAAAATAATTTTATTAATTATTATTTTATTTCACACACACACACACACACACACACATAATTAATAAAATATTAAAATAAATAAATAAATAGAATTGTAATCTCACACAAAAGACTACATCAGATAGGAGTCAGAAGACACATTAGTATAACTGGTGCATTTCCTGCTAAAAACATTAATTTTAGAGACATTAGCGATATGCGCATTTCCAAATAAATTGTCCTTATGTATAAAACAAGCAGGCCAGCAGAAGACGAGCTGACCCTCTGCCAACCACCAATGAAATCTTAGAATACTGAGGAATCAACTTTGTGTGATTACGTAAGAATGACAACTTTCAACAGAGTTATAAAAGGTAGGAATTCAGAAACTTTTGTTGTGTCTTGACTCAATCTATCAGAGGACAGGCCTGAGACACCACAGAGTGCCCTCTCTCCCCCATTGGGGCTCTGTTCAATGCCCTATTTCCGGGACAGGACAGAGTAAATTACTTGCTCATTTTACAGGGCCTCTTTTGACAAATCCACAATGCATTTATTGATTCATTTTCTAAATCAAATAAGCCCCCCGCCCCCCTCGCATTAATACCTAGAGACCCCCTACCTGACACAATATCCATTCTGCTGCAGGAAAATGAAGTTTCAGTCGACATGGATAATGAATTCATCCTGCATTGCTAAAATAACTCTAATTGCCAACCACATGCCGGAGCAATTGGAAAATAATATTAATGCGCATTTGCTAGGTGTATTATCCATTTGTCCAAGTCAATAAGAACTGTCATTAAAAGCGGCAATAAAACTCACATTCCGCCTGCTTATTTATCTCACAGGGAATTCAAACTTGCATTTAGCACATTTTGCAGACTGATTACTTATCACATTACAATGCTTTTTGCAAGTTAAAATTCAAATGAGATGTTTCTGGAATGAATGGTACAGTTTAATTTGCATATTTATTATCTTTATGGGTAAGGTTCCAGAGTAGAGTTTGAAAGTAATCATAAAAGCGCATATTTCCTCCTCATCGCACCATTTCTCATCAGCCGTATTGGCCCATTTCGACACTTTGCTTCGAAAACAATGATTCTTTGCATTATTTTGTGAGCTGCATCTAAAAAGTTATAAATACATTACGTTTAGCAACTCTACGATGTGTGTCAGGCAGGGCGAAGTTGAAAAACAACAGATGTTGTCTTGGGTCCCTTTCAAATAATCCACAAACAGCCCTCCAATATAGACAAAACCAACCTCAAGACCCATCTAAATGACAGACCTTGGGTTTCTGGAAAAAGGGCGACTACCTGTGATCAACGGCTGCTTTTGAGCCCCTGGTTCACTTCAGAAGAGAATAAGCTGAAGGAGGACGTTGGGTGCTGAGCAAGGGCATTTGGCTTTGGTCTCCATGGAGATAAGAGTAAAGGAGGATGTAAGATGAGAGAGGGGGAGAGGAAAGCCCTCCGTGTCTCTCTCACTCTGCCTCATTGTTATCAAAATGACAGTCCTGTGGGTGAAATGAAATCCAGGCGAGTTAGCTCCGTCTGGACAGAGGTTAGCACTCTGTTCATCTGTGTGGGAATTATAGGCCGGCCCGATGCCGGCGGCACATGGGTTTAGCTGTGACCTCAGACACGGCCTCTCTCAGCAGAGGACACATTCTTTATCACGCCCACTTTCCGAGGACCCTACCCCAAACCCCAGCTTCTGCCACACACACACACAGTCAAATGCCAAGACACAAACGCACACACACCAGTATCAACAAATGCTGTCAAGATCTTAAAGAACAGATAGACAACTTAATGTAATTATAACCCCTAAACAGTCTTTTGGCAGTAAAATATTCCCATTTTTACCGTCCTTCATATCACACATCTTTCTGGGCAAAACAATTATATGAGTTTTAGCCAAAATTTTTGCCTAACACACAAATAAACTCATCAGATAAGAGGATAATATGGAAGTTTCCCTGAGAGCATGAGTGTTTATCACTGTAAAAAGATCTTGCTGAAATTAATGTATTGACACAATTCTGAATAAAACGCTTTTTAAATATTTTAATGTCATTTAGCAGAGAATCAAGCCTCGTTACTAAGTGCAACTTGTATTCAATTAAAAAATGAGGGGCCTTATTGGGATGAATATGGATATGAAATTTAAAATGAAATGAACGTTTTTTTTTCCCCC